GTGTAGACGAGCTGCTGACTATAGCTGCCATGCTCACAGGTGACTGAAGAGGAGGGAATCACTTCACTGTAACACACACTGACACATACAAAGTGGAGTCAACAACTTATCTGGGAACAAAATGGAAAAATGAATGACATGTGATCTGATGTTTGTCTCGTCAGCACCTTCCTGTTTCATGATGGCAGACCCCAGCAGAGAGGAAGCTGCTGTGTCTCACTGGAGACCTCTGATGCACACAGAGGGAGATCACATGACCCTCATTAACATCTATAAGGCCTTCACAGAGCGTACGTACACTTCAGCCTCCATCACACACATACATGTCAGTGACAGGGTCCCTGCTGATGGGAAGCTTCAGTTCTCAGTGGAGAGATGATGTCAGCTGCTCTCAGAGCTCAACAGGAAGATGGGATGGGGTTCAATATTAGCAATATTAGCATTAGCCAGACATAATGGAAAGTAAGCATCATGATCACAGTGGGCTCAGTGACTTACTGAATGGTCTGTGTGTTGTGATTTCAGATAATCAGGATGAGGCGTGGTGCACGACAAACTTCCTCAGTCACGCCTCCTTACGATTGGCTACAGTGATCAGGGCGGAGCTGCTGGAGGTGATGCAGCGCATAGAGCTCCCTGTTTCTCCTCCTGCTTTTGGTTGCCAGGACAACTGCACGAATATCAAGCGCGCTCTCATCTCAGGCTTCTTCCTCAAAGTAAACACCCAGTTTTGTTTCATGTCAGCATCCTTCACCCCTCGTCCCATCGTCTCATCTCCTCCTCTGAGCTCATGAGAAATGCTTCTTCTTCTCCTCAGGTTGCTCATGATGTGGACGGCTCAGGTAACTACCTCCTGCTAACTCACCGCCACGTGGCTCACCTGCATCCCTTCTCCTCCTACCTGTGTCGCCAGCCGCGCCCCGACCCCCCCAGCTGGGTCCTCTACCATGAATTCACCATCTCCCGTGACAACTGCATCCGCATCGCTTCAGAAGTCCACCCCCAGATGTGAGTCCAGCTGTCAGACAGGTTCTGGGGACAGTTTAAATGCACCTTTTTTATTTTAGATGATTTTCTTGATCAAACAGTTCAGATTCTAAACATCCATCTTGTCCAGTATGTTTTGGATGAAGCAGGACTCTGTTGGTTTTAGGGGGGTTACAGGTGTTACGTGTATGTTTGAACTTTGGACACTGTTAGGTGAGCTCCCTCAGAGTCTTTATGAGGCTACAGGGGCTCCAGGTGTTTGATCTAGGAGTCATTCAGACAGTAACTGGCCAGTCTGAGAGATGTTAGAGGTCATAAAAGGAGTCACTGAGAACTGCTCAGTCGTTTTCTGAAGGTTAAACTCCTCGTAGAAAAATACAATGATAATGAACTTTGATGGCGGGTAAATTAATAAGGATCCAGTACTGATGACCTTCAATACCTTAGAGTTATTAATAAATTGCATTTTTCAGTCATTCAAGAAATAACAGGTGGGGAGGAGCTGATGGCTCATTGCAGAGGAGGAGAGGACCTGTAGCGGGGTCTCATACAGCCTGTTATGAGCTGAATGGAGACACAAGACCAAGACTACATCCACACTAATATGTTTTGGTTTTAAAACGCATCTCTTCTGCTGCGTTCACTCCTGGCATCCACACAACTCCAGAGTTTTTCAGCCCTATGTAACTCTGACCCTAACGATGATGTCACACCACGGTCGATCCCTGATTGAGTCTTATCAGCCTTGACGACCAGTGGTGAACACAACATGATAAAGAATTGCAGTGTTACTGACCTTGTTGTCTTTGCTAGCAGCTGTATTTTAACACTAAACTGTCTTTGCTGTTCCTCCGTCAGAGTATTTTATTAACTAACTGCAGAGTAGACTGAAGGGCAGAACAGAGAGAAGTGAGGATGACAATGAGGTCGGTGATGATGATGTCATATCATCTCTCGATTTTACTGACTGACTTGTTTTTATTATTATTGTTAATAAAACACTGAGGGAAACGGGAGTCCAGCAGACAACATTCAGAGTCACAGTAAAAGAATCAACATTAACATAATCTACTTGAACAAGCCGTTGATATTGACTAGCCGCTGTGCTAACTGTCTGCTCCGAGGGGAAAAGCCAACAGCAATCATCCTCCCACATGATCATGTTGGGATTCAGAGTGCAGGAGGAGAGAGGAGCTGTTCATAGACGGCTCTGTCTTCAGTTAGTCATTTGAAATAGTAAAAATAGGCACAAATTAATATTTCACTGATATCAGGGGAGCCACAAATAGATCAATGTATGGGAAATAGGGCCCAAGGTGGGCCCCTTCAGAGTCATGGCCCTGCTGCAGCCCCCTCCCGCTCACTCCACTACAGATCCCAGGATTCTCTTCGGCCCTGATGGACAGTGTCTCTCAGCAGCTGTATGAACACAGGAAACTTTAGCACCTTTCAGGTCAGATACGATCCTTTAATGCAGACAGAGCAGTGCAGATAACAGACATGAGACTGGTGTCAGTCTTCTGATAGAGAGAAAGCTGTGTTGTGTATTATCCCAAATGTTGAACTGTTCCTTTTAATGAATACTGCACTCCTAACACGGTGGTTCCCAACCTGTGGGCAAGGGCCCACCAGTAGGCCGCGAAAGGTATTGCAATTGGGCTGACAAATCATTTGCAAAACAGAATGATTTTGGTGAAAAAATATAATTAGGAAAGATAAAAAAAATTCTATATATATATATACTGTATATATAAAATGTTTTAAAAAGAATTGATCTTTAAAAATGTAAAATTTCTATGTTTTTCTCATATTATGATCTAATACATGATCATGTGATAAACCATTGATAGGAACTTCTACGTTGTCACTGAACAACATCGTTGCTGCTCTAACAACATTCAGGGGTTTATCGTTGTGTGTGTGGAGGTCCAGTACTTCATGTAGCCCACATAACAACAGTCCTCTAATGTCCTCAGTGATGTCCCTCTGTCTGCTGCAGGCTGGTGGAGCTGGCCCCTCAGTACTACCTGGGGAACCTGCCGTCGAGTGACGGTAAGGAGCTGCTGATGGAGCTGAGGCAGAGTCTGCAGCCGCAGGGCTACGAGCGGGACGGAGGGTCCGACGAGCTCAGCAGGACTCACAGAGACTCTGAGGGGACGGGAGACGCCCACAATCAGTCGAGTACCGAGCTCTGCGTTGTCCAATGAGTCGCAGCCGCCGGGGGACGACGCCACACACAGCTGTCACTTTATTGTTTGATCTGAGATTTGGTTCTTTGTATGAAATAGTCTGATGTGTGATTTCAAATGACTGAAAACACTAATGTACAGTAATACATCCTCCACTCAGTGGCTCTGGAAAATATTCAAACCTTCATGTTCTCCATGTTTTCTTGTGTCTTAACTTTAAATTTTTTAATTTTATTTTAAATCCTTTTTGTATTTAATAAGGGATTTCTATGTTTCTAAATTATTCTATAAAATAAAACCTGTCGTCACTGTGTCACTGACACAAAACTGTATTTTTAAATTGAAAACTGGAAGCAGTGAAGCGGTTAGAATATATCAAACCACTGAAACCTGAGATTCCCTTTAGAAGCAATACATACTACTTCAATGAACTGAGACACTGTTATGGTGCGACCTTTGACCTTTATCCCGATGCCGTTCACAGTTGTGGACTGATGAACAGCTGCTCAGGGCTGTGATCTGTAGCAGTGATGCACAGAGCTTCTATTTTCTGCTTTTCATACTCTTTGTATAATGTTTCCTGTGTTTCTCTCTGACTGTCAATGATGACAAATCTCTGTGAAGTGGATTGGACAGGATGTGTCTGTTGATACAGACGGAGCTTTAAATAAAAGTGTGTTTTCATGTTTGAAACATCTCAGCTGAGTGCTTTTTACCTTTCAACCACCTCACTGTGTTTCCTCCTCCTCTGTCTGTAACACTAATAATCCTGTGCCGTATTAAAAACCACGTGCAGATTTATTTCTGTGTTCCTGCGTCTGTCGAGGTGAACTCGGGTCGTCAGGTGGAAGATGATGTGTTCAGTCCGGTGTGTTTCAGCGAGGACAAAAACATGTGAGTGCATTTTATTTATAAAGCACAGCACCTCAGAGATGTACTCTAACATTCCTCTGGCAGTCACTGGAGTCATGTGCTCCCTGCACTGTGTCTTTGTCAGGAGACGGGCTGCAGGGTTTTGACCATCTGTATAAAGAATGGCAGACGTTCAGTCCTGAGGACACAAAGGCATGGATTCATTTTTCAGCGTTTATGAAAGATAAAATATGCTCTGAGGGAAATCTTCCATGTGTGATAATATTGTTCAATATTGCAATAAATATTGGAGTGTGCGTATACATCCCTGTGGCTGTTTTACCAGGCTCCAAAATCCTTGACCACTTAGTCTGCAGAGTATCTTGTTTTGACTCGTGTTCCACTGAATGAGCCAACCTTATTGTGAAAACCCAGTGTACTAATGCTCAGACAGGAAAACTTGAACAAGTGTCTATTTTCTTATACCAGCGTCACAGCAGGTGATTTAATTTTACATCTCAGCCTGGTCCGATGTGGCCACGACTCAGCAGCAGTAGACTGAAATAACAGTCACAGCTACAAATCAGGAAACTAGAGTCGTTTTCCACGATTTTCTTTGTTAAGAGTTTAAAGGAGTGAAGGTCAATGATTGAAAGACTTTCCCTCAGAGTGGAGAGAGCTGAGAACAACAGTTATATCACATTCTATATCTTCACAAAGAACATAATTAAATAACTTCATGATAAAGAGGGTCACTTAGACTTATTGTTGGTTTGCGTGTAAGTGATAACAACACATGTTGTAACTCCACTTTTATTGTAGATACTGTACAAGCAACATGTTGTGTTACATCTGCACATGTTGGTTTACACTGAACAGTGTGTCTTCAGATATGGTGGTGATACAGAGACGGTGCAGTGCTTCGGAGAGCATGCAGTATATGTACATGTCAGTGCACAGACGGAGGTTTTATTGACAGGATCATTAGTGCTGAAGGTGACATCATCAGGAGGAGCTGCTGGTCACAGGCTTCTTCAGAGCAGCGTCCCTCATGGTGTGGTACTCCTGCTCATTCTGCTTGAACATCTTCAGCTCCACCTCAGTCTGCGTGCGCATGGACTGAATGTATAAAGACGCAACATTACTGACAGTATCGCACTTACACAATGAAATGATGCTGAAATATTGAGATTTTATTGGCAAACATTAAACTAAATGAGAGTGTAACGCACCTCCAGGTCTCTCGTCATGGCGTGGTTGGGCCCATGGGTGACCATGAGGATGCCGTAGGCCTTGCAGATGAGGCTGTGGCCGGCCTCTATCTGCCCAGCGTGCCAGTGGGTGACGCCTGCCCGCATGATGGCCATGCCCAGCTGGGCATTGTTGGGGTGGTACAACTTCCTGTTCAAGAGAGGAGGATCAGTTCCCCTCTGAAGCTGTGATCATGAACTCAACAGCAATAGATTAACTTGTTGGTCCCAGAATTAAAACAGTGTAAAACTGGAACTTTATACATGAACATTATTCATAGGGAAATTTAGGGTCCAGGAGGTTGAAAGGCTCTGAGCCTCTCTTCTGATTGGCTGACTGTTTTCTGAGTGTTCCAATAAAAATAAAGCAGATTTCAGGTAAACACTCAGAGAAACCAAATCCTGCAAGGTTAGATGGTCGGTCCAGGTGGGCGGGGCTTGATGACTGCTTTGTTGTGACATCACAAAGTTCCAGAAGTCCTGACGGCTGGTTTTAAGGCTCAGTTTCTGAATACAGGCTGTGTGCATTTCTCTGTGGACTGAGGCTTTGATACTTTCACAGTATTAATATAGAACCTAGACCTGATCTATAATCAAACAACACATGGACAGAGACCTTTAGACTATATGGGACTCTTAAATGGAAATTTACGGTGACACAGTAACTTTTGTTTTGGAAATGTATGATGGGAGTTTATGTGCAAAGAATTATAGAATGAGAAGTTATTGTGCAACTTTAAGATGAAATGTGTTTTCTTTTTGTTCACATTCTTAGCGATGGGGAGTTGCCATGCAGATTCATGACGATATGGCTGTTATGTAAATTTGTACCAATATAGGGATTTCCTGTGAGTTGCTATGGTAATTTAGTAGTTTCTATAGAGATATAAGGGCCATGGGGAGTTTTCTATCATCTTAACAATAACTCTATACTGATCTCATCTCTGTCCTTGTGTCTTCAGCAGTGGTGATCCTAGACTCTAGGGGGCCCCAGGCAAAGAAGCCCATCCAAATGCCTCACATGCAGGGAATCAGCAGACACTAGCTGCAGCACACATCAGGGGCCCCACTTAGGGGGGGGGGTTGGGGCAGCAGCAGTGAACCGTATAGTCTTTATGGCAGGTTTAAGCGAATTTATAGTTGGAGCCCCCAAACATTTGCCTGGATTGCCTCTCCTGACGGTGCCCCTCTGGTCTTCAGTTTCCACTTTCATGGTGTGTGTAGTTACGAATCCCTCCATGACAACGTGCTCTGTCACCACTCACGTGTATCCCTCCACCATCTTGCGGGCGTAGCCTGCAGCCTCACTGAAGGACCGCATGTATGACAGAACCTCACTGGCCACGCTGAGCACACGCAGCCTGTACAGGTGAGTGTCAGCCAGGACGTTCTCCTGCTTCCCCAGACACTCATGACACAGCTTCACCACCTGACAGAGGACAGACAGAGGAAGGACAGAGGACAGACAGAGGACAGAGAGAGGACAGAGAGAGGATGGACAGAGGATGGACAGAGGACAGGGAGAAGACAGACAGAGGACAGACAGAGGACAGAGAGAGGACAGAGAGAGGATGGACAGAGGACAGACAGAGGACAGAGAGAGGATGGACAGAGGACAGACAGAGGACGGACAGAGGACAGGGAGAGGACAGACAGAGGACAGAGAGAGGATGGACAGAGGACAGAGAGAGGACGGACAGAGGACAGACAGAGGACAGAGGACAGGCAGAGTTTTGGTTGACAGATGAAACAAATGCTGTTGGGTGAAAAACAAAGAGAGAGGGAGATGGGGAGAGCTGACAGCAGAGTGGTGTACCTCATGGAAATCTCCCTGAATACGAGACTTCTCGATCTTCTCCAGACACTCTTTACTGAAGGCGGTCACCTCTTTCACTTTATCAGCAGAGGGCTGAGAGAAAGACACAGCAACAAGAAAAACCATCTGTATGAGTGTGGCTGTTTATGTGAGTGTCCCTCTGTTGGAGTGAGACCTCCCCTCACTCACTTTGCTCTCTGCGGCATCCATCATCAGGTCGTCCTTGATGTGCTGGCTGCAGTGACTACAGGTGCACTCAAAGTGGAAATGCTCCTTGAGCTTCTTCTGGCGGTCGGCAGACAGGTTGAGGAAGTCCACGTAGCTGACTGTCAGCTCCTCGCCCTCAGGGATCTTCTCCAGAGCCCGCAGCTCGATCCTGGGGAGAGGAGGACGGCACGGGGTCTGGTTCTGTGGATCTCATCATACATGTTTCATGGCTCCCCTCTGCACTGCTCACTGTCGCTTTTATCAAACAGGAGGACATAGTGCATTTGATGGGGACTATTTTCAGTGGCGGATTAACTAGACTGGTAAGTAAACAGCTATTACTGCTAACGTTAGCTATGTAGCAAAGTGCAATTAAAATAATATCTTATCAGATATAATATTATTAATAGCTAATAAATCATGTATTATTACCGTATGGTTTTACTATGAAGAAAACATTTCAACTATCTATTGCACCTATTCTGTAACAGATCAAATGGACTGAACACAGTGTTGTGTGAGTCTGTGTCTGGTAGGTGTCGTCAAAGCCACATCATGTGACAGGCTGAGAGGTGAACAGTTGTGATACTTACCTCCTCTGAGAGTGGAGAGCAGAGCTCAAAGCTGATTGGCTGCAACAGAAAGTGACAGTCAGTGCCTGTGAATGGATGATAGTGGGCTTTGGTCAATGTGGTTCCTATGATCTGTCTAAATCAGGGTTTACTGTTGCTCTTTATGTTGCACTCACACAATACAGATCACATATCACAAACTAACTGACACACACAGGAGCCATGTTGTTTTATTCCAGCACAGGACAATGGTTTCTGGCTCTGTGTTTATATAGAGTCTATACTCTATAGACTCTATATATTGCATATACTCCCCTGGAATCACTCTTTGTCTTGTGAATATTTGTTGATGTTTTCTTAATTGTCATGGAAACACCAACCATGAGTAAAGAGTGAAGGTGGTATCAGACAGCTGTGTTTTGATTGGACAGCAGCTGTTAACGAGCTGTATCACACAGCAGCTGCAGAGTCAAACTGAGCAGGTGACAACAGAGTACTTACTCACATCACTTATCATCACCATACAATGGGCTGCACCAGGCGAGCACACTGTGAAGCTGATGTCGTGTTCACTGGTTGTAAACTTTAATTTTATCCTCTATGTTTAACTTGAGTTGACAAACCCCTCAGACACATACTTGCCGTGGTTGAGGACGACGGTGCAGTTGGGCCAGCAGTCGTGGTTGACCAGACACAGGTTGGGGAAGAGACCCACACCAACAGCCTGCAGGCCTCTCTGGTCACTCAGAGTGAAGCCATTACACTTGATCTACACACACACAGGGGGAGGAGGGTGGGGGGTGGGGGGGTTGGTTGCAGTCTGGTGACATAATTCATGAAGTACACAGGGATAATGACACATGATGAAACATGCAGACTCACGATGCCAAAGATGTGTGAGATGTAGTCGGCAGAGTGCTGCTTCCTCCCACGAGACCAGTACTGCTGGAAGTTGTGCACGTCAGTCTGGAGCTTCTTGAGGTCTCCTTCAGGCAGGTCGGCGACGTGGTCCTCCAGCTGGTCCACTGAGATCAGCTGACTGTCTGACGCGATGCCTGTGTCCTTGTGAATACGCCACAGCACGCGAGCTGCCAGACTGCACAGGGGGAGATAGATTTTGTTGATTTGTCCATTCATTTTGCTCATTCATTTGTCCTCAACTCCATGTGACTCGTAGTGATAACATAATGTACAGGATGTTAGAATCAAATCTATAAAACCAACACAGCTGTATCTATATCAACCCTAAAGGAGCGCAGACCAGTTCTTCCTCAGGCGTACAGATATATCACATATGACGTCTGTATGTCCCTGTGTCAAGAGTGATGTTGCCATATATGTCACCTATAAGGAGATATATTATTATCACATGTATACATCTTCTGCTATAAGAAGATATAAGTTTATAACATACATATATATAACATATATATATATATAATGAATTTTTATATGATATAACATGTTTGTCAATGATAAATCTTTAATTTATATATGTACGTTTATTAAAACAACATCCCTATATAAATTCTATTTGTTTATATGTTTTAATCATTAATGTCTCATTAATTGTAAACATGCCTCTTCTCATTCTGGGAAAGTGGTCTCAGACTCCTGGACCCTATTGTTTATAATGTCAACATACAGTATATTAACAGGCTTTAGGATGGATATATATTTATGTCACATATGTCTACAATATAAGCATACATACATGAATGTGTCTATTAATATAGTCCAGACATGATTTTTATATATGTTTTTATTTTATATGTACATATATTAAATTTGCATGTGGGGCCCCCAGGATGATATTCAGAGGGAGGTTTTCCACAGCAGGGCATTAATGTAACAGCACTACAAGTCAGTGGCCCTTCTAGTTCTCATTACTGTGGTGACCTCTAGGCACACACATCCACACTAAAGAACTGACGGCATTCTTCAATCAGTTTTCTTAGATGAATGTATTTTTACTTTAAGGAGTCATGTGTGGTCTCACACCAGTCTGACCAGTAGTTGACATATCCTGACACCAGTCTGTGGAGGGCAACCTGCTAATGGTTCTAACACAGACGTTACAGCACTGAGCATGACAGTCATAAACACAGTCACAGTGTCAGAGGTGAC